AGCCTACCAGGGCTCCACAGTGAGATCTTGTTTCAACAATAGCAACAAAGATGAACAAATCAAAAAAGAAAAGAGAACTTTTGGGGTAGCCCAGAGGAACACTTTCATCACTACACTTCTTTGTGTTCATGGGGGGGGGAGCTGTATATTTGTGTTCATGTGGGGGAGTGTACATGTGTATGCTGTATGTATGTGTTCATGTGGAGGAGTGTGTATGTGTGTGCTGTATGTTTGTGTTCATGTGGAGGAGTGTGTGTGTGTGTGTGATGCTTATTTGTGTTCATATGGGGGAGTGATTTGTGCATGTGGAACTCTGTCTGTGTGAACATGCACACATAGGCCAAAGGTCACTATTGGGTGTCTTCCTCCATCTCTCTGCACCTTGTTCAGTGAGGATCTCTCACTGATTCTGTAACTCATCTATTTGACAAGGTTGACTGGCCAATGATCTCTGGGGATCTGCCTGTCTCTTCCTCCCACCCCAGTGTGGGGATCATAGATAAACTGTGTGCTCTGCTGTTCACTGGATGCTGAGGCTGGAACTCAGGTTCTCATGCTAACACTGAAGGGCTGAACTATCTCCCAGCTCCTTCTTAATCACTGAGCCATCTCTCCCCCTTCAGCTCCTTACTTCTGAAGTCCAGTTTTTATCCTTGTAGGACAGAAAGCAGAGACTTGAGAAATCCTAGCCAGGACAGGGAGTGCATTGCCAGCACTAGGTGTTCTCTGTGTCCTGGACCTGCTTCATGCTGATTCCCACTGTTGACACTGTAAGCATTTGGCCCTCACCCTCCTGTGCATGCTATATTAGCTTCCACTTGCCTGCACCTGTGTCCTCTTGCCTGTGGCCAGTTGGAATCTGTTTAGTTGCAGTGGAGGCCAGATTTACTGAGGAAGTGCTCTATCTAAGGTGAAGAGTCATCAGTTAAGAATCCCAAGGTTTTCTACTTTGCTATTGGAAGGATGAGTATCAGCTCAGGACCTCCAAGACCAAGTTCTCAACACAAAGGAGATTGATTTGTCCCAGAGGGACAGAGGGCAGGGAATAAGAGACAAAGACAGGAGATGGGGGACAAAGGAGAAAGGGGAGGGAACAAGGGAGAGAGGGACAAAGGACTGCCTCTGGATAGAGAGGAGACAGATGTGGCCCATAGGAAAATGGCAGTTTATAAAAGCAAAAGGGGAAAGCCCCATGTTATGATGGGGTGCTTAATTTTAATTGGGTATGTTAATTAGGGCAACCACAAGGGGATTTTGATTGCTGGACTTCAGTACGTTTATAGCTAGACCTTGGTAGTCAGGCTCAGGAGGAGGAAGTAGACTAATAAGGGAATAGACTTCAGTAGCTAGCCTTCAGAATGTAATTTTTTTTAGCAAGGCAGAGGGAATGGAGAGAAGGGCAAGGCCTACCAGAGCCATGTTTGCCAAGCTCAGGCTGGCTGGAGTCCCATCAGCTATTGAGCCAAGACTTTGCCTCCCAGAATCCCTACACCTCTGCAAGATGCAATGGCAGCTGCCTGGGGTAGGAACTTGTGCCCTCCATTGCTTCTTCCTCCTTTCTGTTGCTTTCCGTTACCTGGTCAGTGTTTCCTGAGCTCCTTCCCACAACTCCTGTACTCGAGTCTTTACCTCAGTTCGCTTCTGAAGGAAATCTGACTAGGCTAGCACCCAAGTGTCTCTGTTTCTCTCTCCCTCACTTCTCCACTCCCTTCTGAACAGACCTGGCTCCAAGTTGGGCAGAGATTATCTGGAGAAGCATCTAACCACTTCTAGGACCAGCTGTCCTGGGGATCCAGGCAGCTAGAGGTAATGAGGTAAAGAGAGTGGTCTTTTGTGACCCAGATCCTCACCTTTGTGTTCTGTCTGCTGTTCCAGTTATGGGATGATATGGATCCGTAAAAGTGTATGCAGATTCTAGTTCCAGCTCTGCTGGATCCTAACCCACCACTTCAGTCTCTAGGTTTCAATTTACTCCTCTGCAAACTGAGGGGTCAGAGTGGATTAGCTGTAAATCCCCATCTACTGTTACATCTGTATTTGTTAAATAACGAAGAGAGGCAGGTGGTGTGTCTTGAGGGGAGATGTTTGATATACACTGTCAACCATAGTGAGAAGATGTGTGACCCTTATCCCTCTCCACGTGAATGAAGCTTGCTGGTTCAAAAGAATCCCAGCTTTCACACTGGCTTCCCAGTTGCCTGTTCTAACCATTCCAGCTAAAAGTCTGATTTTAGTGCAGGAGAAACTTGGAGGCAACAAAATTGATGCTATAAAGGATTTACTAATAAACTTGCTGAGGAAATACTAAACTACACGAAGTAGTATTTAGCTAAAGGACCATGACCTCCGATATAATTGGAAGATAAGTAGTAAACTGACCTGGGTTGGGAATGTGAATGTGTGGTTAGTAAACCATGACTAGAAGGTTGAGGAGACCCCGAGTCATCTTGTTCTAGGGCTCAGCAAACTTTTGCACAGGGTCAGATAGAGAATGCCTCAGGCTTGCAGGCCATGTGGTATGTACTGCACTGCAACTTCTTGGCTCTGCTGCTGAGGACAGGCAGACCAAACTACAGCTTAGATGAGTTTGGAGGAGAGAGGGACATTTACCTTGGGCACAGAACTTAAGCCAAAACAAACAAAACCCCCATACCTGAATTACAAGTATGTAGTTGTGTTTCAGTAAGACCCTGTGGTATGTAGGTGAGTTTGTCTCTCACATTACAGTGCCCCTGGGGCTCATTTAGGAAGTGTTACTCTTATATGGCTGGGTCTCATGGTGACATACTCCTTTTGGGGTCCTGTCCCCCTTCTCTTAGCTCTTTGTTGATGTTTGGGCTGCTCATTTCCCTCCAATTTATATCCCTATTGCATTCTAAAACATTTTAACAGCTAAGGCTTCAAACTGGACATAGAAAACTTCAACAAGGTCTCTGTCCTGACTGTGGGCCATCTTCACTTGGAAGACATCCCTAGTGGTTGCTGGAAGCTGTGTGTAATACCCAGTCTCATACACAAACACTAGGATAACAGTGACTGTCATGACCAAGACAGTTCCAAAAGTGGCCAAGAGGATCAGTAAAGTACATACACTTGACAAAGAATGATTTAGGTCCCAGTTGAGGCAGTTGGAACTATGTGAGCCTTCATTGTACTTCAGAATTGTGTGGAATGTAAGACTAATGAACTGCTGGTTTCTGGACTCTTCCAGTAACTATCTTTAGCTGACAGTGAGTGCTAACTGAAACAGCAGGTAAGATGTACTGCTGTACACTGGGCACATGATTTAGAGACTCTGATAAACAGCTCACAAGCCTGCTCATCTTGGCATAGATGCATTTCAACAGCAGAGTGTTCTAACCAAAGAGCCTTCCTAGTCAAACGGAAACAAAAACTTGAAACTATGGTCTATCTTATTGAGCAATGGTTGAAGCTAGGGTTCATCCTTTGACATAGCTATTACAAAGCAGTCTGCTTCAGATAAGAGGCAACCTCAAGTACCTGTGAGGGGAGTGGCTATTTGAGACGGGTTGTTCTCTGCAATTTCATGATGTCGAGACCCCTTCTCTGACAATAAGGAAGTACCAGCCCCCATCAGACGTTTGGAGTTGACACCAAGATAGTAGAAATCCACAATGTGGACACCAGGCTGCAACAGTTAATTCTGAAGTTGCTTCCTGATGACATGGGTATAGATTCTCTCCTTCCAGACTCCTAACCCATCCTCACCCCTCCAAACATTGGCCTTTATGGTGCAGGGAGAAGCCAATGAGGCTCTCATGACTCAACCATGGTAAAAGACAGGATCAGATAAGATGTTAATTAATATGACAATTCGTGATGAATTATGTTCCAATAAAAGTTTATTTGGCTCATCCTGATCAAGTTTAACAATATGTAACAGATTATTTTAAGAACATGAATAATTATAACAATTCTCTGTGAACTCGTGGCCAGTCAGCAGCATGTCCCGTACTCAAGAAGTAAAGCTTTCCCTCTGAGGACAAATGGCACATGAGGAGTGGTGTGCATCACATTTTCTTAAAAGAAAAAGTAAAACCTAAACACTTCATATTTACATATTTTCCACTCAAAACTGGTCAGTATGATTGATTCTGTTTTAAAATATAAGTTTCTAATGCCTTGTAGGAGTTAATATACATATCATAGTTAGATTTAAGGTGCTGCAATGTGAGGTTGAAAACATTCCAAAGAGCTCTCTCAACAGACCAGCTAGACTTCCTGGGTGTCTTTGGGATGTTGGCAGGGGCGGGGGGGGGGGGTAGGAGAGGGATAGATACCAATGGCAGAGTATTCAGGGACAGACTGTGGATTGTTGGTGTCCCCACTCCATGCTTCTGGACTTCAAGTTCATCTTAACTTAAGCTATGAGGGCATGGTTACTTTGAATTCTTTGTCATGGGCTCTCCAGGGTGATATCTGCCTCTTCAGGACGCTGGCGGTTGGTACCCTCTTCAAACACCTAACTTATCTTTCTGTGTTAGATTTTTAGCCCAGTCAATTCCTTTAGGGTCCACTCTTGGCTTTCACTGAGCGAATGCTCAGGATCAAGGGCAGCATTAATGAAGGATGATGGGCCTCTGTGGAGCCTTCCCTCCTAACTCATTTGTTTCTATGGAAAATACCTTACTGCTTTTCCTACAAATGAGTAATCTGTGCCAAGAACATTTGGTTCTGAAGTAGGTTTGGAGAGGAGCTGTGTGTGTATGTGGGTGGGGGTGAGATGTGGGGGGTTAGAGAAGAGAGATTCTTGGGATTGATGTCTTCAAAGACATCCACTGGGGAACACAGGCTGAGCTGTTGAGAAAGTGCATAGGACATGCTGCAAGAAGTTGCATGGCACAGGCCTGGCAGATCACTGAACTCACCAGAGACCCTGAACTGCTCTGATCTGAAGTGACAATTCAGACTGTGCTGAGTTTGGGTAAATACAGGGATGCTGTGGCAGGTGAGGATGCTTAAGCACTTGAGGAAGTCATAAAAATGTCTGGTGGTTAGGAGACACTAGTTGCAGAATACAGGAAACGTTCTAAATTAAAGGAATGGATGGGACAGATGGTAAGGGACAGCAAGGAGCACTCGGGACCAAGTTTGCTGACCAAAAAGCCAGAATGACCCTAGCAGAGGAAGACATTATACTGTGGTCAGACACTTGTTGGGGGGGGGGCTGGGATTCAGACTTATACCCTGACATTCACTTGGCCTGTGGTCCTAAGTCAGACACCGCTTCTCTGGGCCCAAATGGCCATTTGAGCCTAGGTGGGTCACATGGCTTGGAAAATATATCTGCAAGCTGCTTCTGCCCTCTTGACCCTGGTAGGTCTGTAGACTGCTGTCGGAGATCCCTTTCTTCCCTGCATACTGTCATTTATAAAACACAGGCTTCCCCTTCGATGGGAAAGTGATAGCCCCCAGTCAGGCTCCATTCAATACCGCTCCCAGAGGTTAAAGGCTAGTTATTAAGGCAGTTTAAGAAATAAACATTCCTCTCGCTCCCTGGATCCTCAGGTGTTCTGCTAACCCCAATGCAGCAGAGAGGGGCTGAAGGAAGTGCTAGGGGAGCAAGGAAGTGGTCTGGCTTTCTGGGTGGTGGCAGCTTGCTCCGGAAGTTCTCCCGCGCTCCTTCTGTGCTCACCACCTTTCTTTGGAGAAGGCCTCTGTCTGGACGAGGTCGCCAGGGTGCTCAGAGATGCACGCACCATTGAGATCACCCAGTTTGTTTTCCGGTAGGTCCTCAGGTTTGGTGCAGAGCTTTAGAGCACGCGAGATGAACACATCTAAGTCGAACTGGGGACTGGCACCCCCATCGACGGGTGTTGGGTGTCCTGGGGGCGAGGCAGAGAGGCGGTGCTCTGGCACATCAGGGGGAGGACTGACTCGCTCAGGGCCACTTTGCGTGCTCTTGACCCACTGAGCGATCTCTAGGAAGAGGCTGGCTGGTTCGTCCTCACATGACATTGGGTCTGCTGCTACTGCAGCCATGGGGGCCGTGCTGGCTGCCTGCTTCCAGTGTGAGAGGTCCAGGATGAGCTTGGGTTCTGAGTAGTGGTGGGGCTTGTTGTCGCGCCACAGCAGCTTATCTAGGTAGGATGGGGAGCCGACCTTGTAGTCACAGGAGCGCCCATAGTCGGCCTCGAAGGCACGCTCCATTGAGGAGTGCGATTGTTCCAGGAAGCGCTCGGAGCTGCTTTGTGAGTCTTTGCGTGGGTCCACCTGAACATCCTCGGCCAGTGATGCAGAGCCAGCACGTGGGTCGCGCTGCACCTCGCTAGCATCCTGGCACCGATCAGGCCTCCACTCCAGATCTGATGACAGGCTCACAGGATACCTGCAAGAGTGCAAATGGAGATGTGATGTTACAACCCAGGAGGGATGGGGAACCAAACGGCCTGATCCTTGCCTGCCTCTGCATGGGGCCTGGATTCTGGATTTCTAGCAGGCATTCTGTTGCTGATCTTTGGATCACATTTTGAGGGGCAGGACCTAAATGGGTGCTTCCTAACCCTGGTTCAGGTTTGAATTCACGCAGGAGGATTAAAAATAAGTACTAGGTATCCCTTGCTGCCCACTACCGATGCTCTGGTTCAGTAGGTCTAGCTGGCCCTGCTGGGGGCATTTTTGTAAGATTTTCCCCACGGATTCTAAGATGTAGCCAGGTGATAACTTCTGCCATGATGGATCTGGACTGGTGCTCTGTAGCACCTCACGTCCAAGCAGAGCAGATGGGGCCTGCAGAAAGATCACAGACACCATCAGGGGAGGCCAAAGATCCCTTGGAATTCTGCCCTCCTATGACTGCCCTGTAGCCAAGGACATTGGAATCGGATAGCCAAGAGCAAACGAAGGGCAGATGGGCAGGCAGACGACTGGCTGTCAGGTCTAGCTAAAACCCTTTCTTCTGCCAGGTGCTCTGGTAGGGAACATGGACATGGTGGCAGCTCCTGGCCAGCTGCTCCCTGAGCCAGAGGCCTGGTGCTCACATAGGACAATTAGATCAGACAAAGCCAGATAGCTGCAGCCCACAGACTATGGGGTAATCTGGATATGGCTAGAGAAAGGTAGGGTGAGTTGAGTTTCCCACCTCCTAAGGATACCATTAAGGTAGGCATGGCTCTCAGGATGCAGCATTGCCCTTTCCCTGAATGGCCTTGAAATTGCAGGGGTTTCTAGGAAGAGCTGGGAAGCACTAGCATTCATACATTATACCCCAACTGTTGACCCTAATTCCCTATTGCCTTTGCAGCAATCCTGAGGGGACTTAGTGTTATTGCCACAGCCTTAGAGATGAGAAAATTAGCACGCTACAGATGTGAAGGCCACTGCAGCTGTGGCATGGACTTTATCATCCTGGTCCCTTGTGCAGGTGTGATGGGGAAGGCCGTGAGCAAGAGTGCCTGGCTTGGTACTACCCTGAACTGACTAGCCGTGACCTTAGTGATTCCTTGTCCCAAGCCAACATTGTGTGCTCTGAATTCTGTGGCATGGAAGGGGGGGGGGCACAAATCTAAGAACCACAGTCTAGAGCAGCCCTAGCATGAGGCTGGCAGAAGAGTCAATAAATTGCTATTTGTCAACAACAAGAAGCTACCAATCCCTGCCCCAAATAACAGTGCCCTGCCCCCTCTTTGCACCCCCTCAGTTTGAAACCTATCATCTGTCAAACGACTGAAAAAGAGAAATTGCCTATCTGCCACTTATATAACCAGCTGTCACACTCCCATGGCAGCCAGGTTCCTGGCTAGCCCCCCATGGAGTTGATGCAGCTAAGCACCCCTCCTCTGCCTTTTCTAAACTGAGCAGTACTGATGCAGTGTCAGATGGCGGTGCCCTGGTGCCTCATCTGAGAAAGTCAGGACAGGAAAGGAACTATGAAATCATACTACTCCTGTAGGAATGGTTTTTAAAAAAATCTACTCTCCAATACCAGGCACCTGTCAAGGATCCCGAAGCCACATGAAGCTAAGCAGCAAAGCTCTTAGTAGTGTGGGGCACGGGTACAGTTTGGGGCCGGCCGGCCCTGCATGGGTTTGCTGTGTAACATGGTGCCAGTGCTTCACCCTCTCTAGGCTGTGGCTTTCTCATGGTCAATAATCATAACACAGCCTCTTCCAAGGGCACTCAAAGGAGGTGTGAGTCAAGTGCAAAGTGAGAACTGTTTTGTGCCAGTGAATTCTGCACTCTTTTCTTGCGTTACATTGTCATATTTGGCCTTCCAAGAGCAAAATCTTGACAGATGATGTAGTTCAGTGGCAGAGTGGCTGCCTGGCATTCACTAGAAAAACTCCAGCCTGTTTGGTGTTCAGGAAATACTACAGTAGACACTCAGCAACACCTGCCCCTGTGTGCACTGAGCCTTATGTTTAGTGGTCTTAGAATATCAAGGAAAGCTGGGGGCTTTGGTCTGCAGAGTGGAAGTCTCTGACTCACATGGGCAACACCAAGCTGGCTCATTGGGAAGGTCTGGGCACAGGAGAAAGGTAGGAACTAAGCTGGGAAAAGTGCCCAATGCAATGTACAATCCGGGAAACAGAGGTCACGGAGGATCAGAGGCAAAAGGGATGTGAGAGCATAAGGGGGGTGGGCATGGCTCTGAATGCCAGACTTGAAAACGCACCTGTCCCAGTTGGAGAGCTGGCTCTGACTGGCAGCCATCAACACGATGTCATCGATCTCGTCTTCAATGCGGAAGGGGTGTTGTGAGGTGGGCTCATCCTCGGGACATGAATAAGGGCTCATGTAGGGGTGCTGCAACCCCATCTCAGCTGTTAAGCGGTCCATGGGGTTAAAGGTCAAGATCTTCTCCAGAAAGTCGATGGCTGTAGGGAGCAAAGCCAGTCATAAAGGTTATGTGCTGCTCCCGTCAAGCTGAGAAGAGTTAGCAAGGTGCCAGCCCCCTTTTAACTGTGTGTCTACAAAAAGTGGTTTCGTGGTTTTGCAACTAAAGCTGCAGAAGGGTAAGGTGATGCATTGAAGGTTTCACAGCTGGGCAATGGAAGTTGAGGTCACAGTCTCAACACTGGACTACTCTAAATACAGGGACTGGGGACAATTAAGGGTTATTCTTGAGACAGACACTCAATTCCATTGGGATCCTCCTGGAGACAGCTGGGACAGCACAGACAGTACTCCCATCAACTGGGTTGAGGACTTCTGGAGAAGGGCAAGAGCCCATGGGAGAAACTGCTGTGTGTGTGGATGTACAGAGGAGAGTAGAGCATGAAGCCCACTAGTGACAGACTCAGGGGCTGCCACGAGGCCAGGAATCTGCAGTCTAAAAGCACAGGTTGACTGTCATTTATTCTCAGTGTTTGCCACCTGAATGTTCATTTGAATTTCAGGTATTTTGTATGTGTATGTTTTAATATTTATATATCCCTTACTGGTTTTGGACTCCTAACCCCCAAATCTAAACACCCAAGTGTTCTAAAATTTGAAACTTTTTGAACATGTAGCTAGGAAAAACACCAGTTGCCAGGTGCTTGATGTCTGAATCCCATACCCTGTTCTTTGGATGGAGGCCCACCTGCCTTTGCCCCTGCCCCAAAAGGTGAAGCCAGAGTCAGCCTCTTGGGATGGTGCCCCAATGCAGGTTTGGGTACCTTCACTGTTGACATCAGGGAGCAACTTGCGTAGTGGCCGCTTCACCTCCCAGGTGCTGTTGACAAAGGTCGGCATCACCTTGAGCAGCTCCTCCTTGTCTTCCTCCCGGACCACAGGGATGGTCTCTAGGATGAGCTGCATCTGCTCCAGCTCATGAGCCCCTGGGGGAGACAAATGCAGCACGGATAAGTTGTTTGTCTGGATGGCTGCACATGTGGACGCCCCAGAGAAGCTCCAGCTGGCTAGAGAGGTGACACTGTGGGACAGCAGGCAGCACTAGGCTCAGAGCTGAGGGACTTGGGTTCTAATAGTCACTCTATTGCTAAATTAGCCCTGTGGTCATTGCAGAACAGAATGCTTGCTGTATTTGGGGGTTGGCTTTGTTAATGTAAAAAGCATTTGCTTATGGTTCAACATGAAATGGCCTTCAAGGACTTATGTATTTGAACACTTGGACCCTGGTGGAGAGTGTAATTTTGGGAGATTATGGGCTTTTGTGATGTAGGGACTATTTGGTTGGTGATTAGGCCAGTGGGCGTAAGTGCTTGTGGTTAAGAGCCCTGCTTCTGACCTGGGTTTCCTGCTTTCTGTCCACCACTGAGACGTGAAAGAGCTGTGCAATAAAGTTCCCTCTGCCACTGACCAGGCCACTTCAGCCACCAAGTGTTCCCTGTCATGACACTATAAGCCAACACAAACTTCTGCTGCCTTGAGGTGTTTCTGTAGAGTGTCCTGTCACAGTCAGTAATTAGGAGTACCATACAGGCTTGTCACTAGTTCTGTCTGAGGCTTGTCTCTTCTAGCATCTCATGTGGACCAAGTAAGCTGATGCTAAGATGGGGGCAGCTGGGCTACTGCTTTGCACATTTTCTGCTAGGCTGGGGAAGGAAGGAGCAATTATAAAGCTAGGAAGAGCCTGGAGCTCCCACAGGAGGGCTCCATTCAGAAAATCCTCAGGAGCAGTTCTCTGCCAGGTCTGGAGAAGTGGTAGGGCAGGACAGAGACAAGCATTCATTCATTCAATAGTTATGGATTGAGTGTGGTGGTGATTTGAATGAGAATGGCCCCCATGGTCCATCCTTTCAAGTTTGAGTATTTAGTCACCAGGAAGTGGAACTGTTTTGGAAACGAGTAGGAGGTGTGGCCTTGTTGGAGGTGTGTCACTGGGGGTGGGCTTTGAGGGCTCACAAGGCCACACTAGAGTCAGTGTCTCTACCTGCTTCCTGCAGATCAGGATGTAAAGGTCTCAGCTACTGCTCCAGCACCATGCCTGTCTGCTCCCCACCATGATGACCATGGACTTGCCCTCTGAAACTAAGCAAGCCCCCAGTTAATGCTTTCAAGTTGCCTTAGTCATGGTGTTGCTTCACAGCAATAGAATGCTAACTAGGACAGGTGACTTGTCTATGCCGAATGTGCGGATTCTCCTCGCTGCCAGGCCGTTCTGCTCTGCATCACCTCTTCTCAGGTTCTTTCTACTCATGACAGGCTGAACTCTCAGTCATACCCATCTCCCCTGGAAGGCCTCTCCAGCTACCTACTTGCACAAGAAGTGCTTCTGTCTTCTGCAGAATTTCACTCTTCCAGAAGCCGATGGCTTAGGAGGAGGTATCCTAGTGCCTAGTGCATATACAGAGCACTATGTATATTGAAGGGCCTACAGCTTTTGGGATTCTCTTAAACAGATGCCTTTGTCCTCTCTTTGTTCCAAGCTCAAAGAGAGTCATCCAGGAGCCTCATGCAGGCTGTCCTCTCTGGATGAGTATCATAGATCCTTTTCCAGGGGAACAGAAGGTCAGCGATGATCAAGTCAAAGACAGATGCTGTCACCTTGCTCTTTACACCCCAACTCCTCTCCTTTGTGACACAGAGACCAATCACACAGAGCCCCGGCTTTGGAATCACTTCCTCAGTAAGGATTGGGCTGGTGGGGAACTATTCCTTCTCATTTGTGAGCTCCTACTGAGGGAGTAACTGTCATACCAGAGGCAATGAGTGGGGTCTCATGAGCTATGCAGTGGGCAAAGGGCAGGAACCTGGGAGTCAAGCAGACCTGGCTGATCATCATCTCTTGCAACACCTTGTAGGAGGAGGATGACTTCAGACACTCTGAATGACTGGTTAAAGGAAGCCATCCTGTTGGCACCTGCACCAGGGGTGCAGCTCATGGCAAATGTTTGATAAACCCTGGTTTCCACTACTTTCTAGAGCTGGGGAGTGTGGATTTCTCAGAGAAGCCAGTGGCATAAATCCATGTGGAAGATGGATGCCCTAATGATAACCTAGTGATCTTTGGTGATAGATGCCACTTGGGTGAGCTACATTAGCATACTGAGTTTACTAAGGAGCCATTGAAAACTGGGAGCAGGGTGCTGCTGTGACCTCTCTTCCTTCTCTTCTGATGTTTTTGGGGCCAGAGACAACCTCACTAGCTGTTGGCTTTCCTACTCCCCTCATAATGAAACTCTGGCTGCCACTGTCTGTCTGAGCAAATGGAGATCAGCTATGCATTGCTTGGCTCTCCAATACCCTAGCTAGAGGGACCAGGGCTGGTTTAGAATCCTGAAAGCCATCAAGAGCATCATTTTGTGCTAACAGGTAGGAACTATGGGAGGTTGGAGGGATCTAAGACGGAGGAATAGTAGATGGAGACCTGGTCCAGAGAGGGAGGTGGAAGCTGTCAACCCAGGGCACAGTTACTACTAACCAGCATGACAGGGTGAGGGTAAAAATGGGCTCTGCTGGATTAAGAAGGGCCAGGCCTATGGTTGGGGGTGCACAGAGCTTTCATGGTCACTAGAGGCCATTGAGTCTTCAGCAGCTTCATACATGATGAGCTGGAGCAGGAAGTGGGTGATATCAGGAGGAAGTAGCTTACTGTGGGTATGCATTTGAAGGACACAATTTATTTCTGGATCTCTCTGCACCTTTCTCCCACATTCCTTTTCCACCGTGACATCTCTGCCTTGCCACGGGTCTGAAAGATTATAAACAGCTGAATAGCACCAGTGACACCTCTAAAACACAGTCAAAGTTAAGCCTACCTTCCTTTTAGATTGTTTGTATCAGGTGTTTGTCACAGCAATGCAAAACAACTAATACCTAGAGGGGTGAAGGAGAGGCTGGAGAAGTGTAAGTGGAGACAGCAAATGCTCCTCCAGGCAAGGATTGGGAACAGGGATGAGGATGGAGCGCTATGGGAGCACTATGAGGGATGGATGACCGCCTGGCGTATTAGCAAAGCCGTCATGGGGGGACACAACACAAGTAAGGCTTGAGTGGGAAATTTTCAAGCAGACAAGGGTTTCTTCTTTATTTTGTGTCAAGGTGAAGAAAGTCTTGACAGATTAGGGAAGCAATGGGATACTTGACAGGGCTCCAGGATGAGGGACAGAGTATCAGAGAGCGAGGAGGGAGAGCTTGAAAACATTGAGTAGGTGTTTTTAGCACGTAGTTTGAAGATGCTGGAGAATAAGCATGTTTTAGTTCACTTGAGCTGCTACAACAAAACACCTAGATCAAATGGCTTATAAACATTTATTTCTTGAAGTTCGGGAGGCTGAGAAGTCCCAAATAAAGGCATTGTCAGATTCAGTTAAGGGCTGGTTTCTCATAAATGGTGCATTCCTGCTATACCCTCACAAGGTGCAAGGGTGAGGGAGCTCTCATAGGAGAACAACGCCCACAGACCATTTCCCCTTAGCCCTGTTTCTTCATGTACTACCCTGAGGTGGTGGCCTCAGACCATAGCAAAGTGGCTAGTCAGTTGCAAAAGTCCTGTGCTCACAAGGCTAATTTGAGATTTTATAATTTTTTTTTGGTATGGAATTATAATACTATGTCTACAGGAAGTATCACAAAAAGCAAAGAAGTAATTTTAGCATGTTTGGGGCTCGGTGAGTGTTTTGTATACAGTCTGAACAAAACACTGAGGAGGAAGCATGAGGCCTTGGTTAGCAACTTACCAGCGAAGAGCATTTTCCCCGTGAGCATCTCAGCTAGGATGCAGCCAGCTGCCCACATATCGATGGCTTTTGTGTAGTTGTTGGGGGACAGGAGCAGTCGTGGAGAGCGGTACCACTTTGTCACCAACCCTTCTGACAGATAACCCTAGAAGATAAAGCCCCCTACATTACCAGCTGGAGATCTGCAGATGCTGTCCCTCCATCCCTCTCGGCTTCCCCTCCCAGAGAGGACTGGGACTCCTTTCACAATCCCTCCCGTCCTTGTTCCTTTTTTCTTGGTCATAGGTGTGGGGACCTTATGAGGCCCTGGGATTCTTCTTTGTGGACGGAGGGTATTCAGGGCATCATTGTTTTGTAAGGAATGGTTTTCCATAACCCTTGATAACACCAAATCTTCCCACCCTGGTAAGGAGACACGTCAATAGAAGTCATGCTCAATTTCATTGCCACAATCAACTGTTATTATAAAACACTGGAATTGTATTTGTCTGGTGGCTGAACCTGAGAAGCAGCCATAGGTTCTGCTTCTGTCTCCTGAGTGCTGAGATTACAACTATGTACCAGGTACCAGCCATCTCCTGGATTTAGTCCAAATATAATCCTGTATAAGTAGAACCAACTTTCTAGCCTTCTGAGTCTCTTCACTTAGATAGGGGCATCAGAGGCTTACACTTGCCATGTGTACAGTAGCTTTCTGTGACTGTAAAAATCACAGGGACAAGACGAAGTGTTCACAGCAGTTCTTTACTTCTCTGTGGCTGGGTTACAGAGGAAGAATGGTTATTTTCTAGCCAGAGAGTGGGATTGACAGAGGTGGCTTGAGAAACTTCACTAACAAGTCAATAAGCAGTCTTGTATCAAATAGAATGTTCTGGAAATAATCTATCTCACTGTAAAGTCTAGGACTGGGAAAAATGAGGACACAGAACTTCCTTCTAAATCACCACAAAGCTGCTTGTAGGCCACAATTTTGGACTTTTCCTTACTTTTCAATGAAAACTAACAACTCAATGACAACTACAGTTATTTCCTCATGGATGCTGGTCCTCTAAGGCCTTTACACACACACACACACACACACACACACACACACACACACACACACACACACACACACGAGATAAATGAAGGGTGTATTAAGAAGCTACTGGGCATTGGGTAATTTGGGAAGTCACTGCATCTTCTGCTAAGCCCTGTATCAAGAGAAGGCCTGGGACAAACAGGGGGCTCCACTCCTGGGTCTAGGGGTTGAACACCAGGGCCAGGGAATCCTGGTTGGGTAAACCCTAGAAAGCTGATTGGTGGAACCCTGGGGTGGGGGTGGGGAGTGGTTCATGATAATACACTGGTGATTTAAATCCAAAAGCGAGTCTTTGAGTGGGTGGGGTTAGGGTTAATTTTCTAGGAGAAGTCCCACAATAGGTAAGTACTGGATTTGATTTGTTAGCAGGGCTCAACGATCAGCGAGAGGGAGGGTCTTCCATTGGCCTTTCTGCCTGTCCTCAGGTCTCAGAGTTGTCTCCTTGGACAGGGTGTGTGCACCGAGAAGGCTGATAGGCTCTCGCAGAGTGCACAAGTGGGCACAGGCTGAGACCAGGCTGCTTTGAGACTGAAGCATCACTGCTCTGAGAAGACAAGCAGCTCATACTCAGGCACACTTCCTAATCCCCTCTCAGAGTGCACAGGGCTGGTGATGCTTCCAACGGTCTCACCTGCTGCTCTCTCTTCCTTTGGTGGCCAAGAAGGACTCTGGAGGCACAGTGGGGGAGCAGCGGTGCTGGCTGGATACAGTCTGTCCTTCTGCAGCTATTCCCACCACACTATTTTGCTGTCCCTATGAATCCATAGAAGGTTTGGCTTTCAACAGCTTAAAAGGGTTTGGGAAGTAAGCTAGCAGCAACTGCCCTGTACAGAATGTAATCATGGCCTCAGTTGATATAGACAGAAGAAGATATAATTAAAGCTCTGAGTGTTCCCTTCCCATGGGGAGCAAGGGGTAACCCTCCATGCTGCCTGTGTGGGGACTTAGAATAGCCTAGATCCATATCACTCTAGCAGCAGGGGCTGTCACTACACCAGCAAGCTACACTGGGCAGGTGGGTACCAGGTCTACTTGCCCCTCCATGTCTCTCGCGCTCTAGCCTAACAAACCCTTTAATGACTAGATGGCCACTAATCCCTTGCAGATATGAGGAAGACTACCTTCTCTACAAACAAACCTCAGCCACCCCCACTGTGTGTTCGTGTGTGTGTGTGTGTGTGGTGCACACGTGCGTGTGTGCGAGTGTGGAGTAGGGTAGGAAGGGTGGTTTCTCCTCTCCTTCTGAGTGGATGTTGAATGTGGCCACCATTCCCAGGCCAGGATGTAAGGGGTTCTAATGGCTTTTCTTTCTTAATTAAAAGTTTCCAGAATGTATTCTGGGAACCCAACATGGGTCAGTTCCCAGTGGAGGATATATAGAGTATCAGGTTAATATGAAAAAGATGACCAGCAAATAACCGTGGTTAATATGGACATGGGACATTTGCTGTACCTAGTCCCATGTCAGTGTTCTATAATAATTAGTTCAAGAATCTTCCCCCAGGCCCTCTCCCCCTCTCTGTAAGGTCACCTGGCCATGAGCCTGCCTGGCCTTACAGTTGCATGCCACTATACCTGACTTTTCTTTACACAAGTGCTGGGCATCTGAATTCAGGTCTTAATTCTTGCCCAGCAAGCAGTTTATCCACCAAGGCATCTCCCCAGCCACTCCCCACCCCCAGCCTTTGGATGTGACTCTTCTTAGAGGTGAAACAGCCAGACCAGGTCCTACCTGGTTGGTACCTATACTCAGGGACCTGCTCTGGAGACCTGCACCACCAAGGCAACACCACAGACAACAGCCTACTTCAGGGGTGAAGCAGGCCAGAGAGGTCTGAGGGAAGTTCAGCCTCTCTGGATAGGAGTGGTGGGCAGTGGATGGTGGCAGGTATGGACATGGAGTAGATGTACGTCTTGGGTTCACAGTAGCCATCCTCGTGGATGGGTTGGGGAAATCAAAAGCCTGGCCCAAAGGCATGATGAGATGGGCACATGTAGCCTACAAGACACACTGAGTCACACTCACACATAGCAAGGCTGCCATCTGAGGAGCTGCTTGTCTCTGAGGTGCACAGGGGACTGGAGCTCAGTGTGACATCTATGACCTGGTAACACTAGCTAACAGGGATCCAACTCCATCAACTCCTGTTCTAACTGCTTTATATGGGTCAACTCACTGTCCTTGCAATGTCATTTGAGGTAGCGTCTCTCCTAACAGCATTCCCAGGAAGGAAACAGCCACAGAAAGGACAAGTTACACAGGCTGCAAGTGGCACAGCTAGGATTTACCCCAGCTTGTAATCTGAGGAGGGGCTCCACTGCCCTTATACACTGACCACGTGGGCACCGGGCTCTTAGGACAGGCAGAGAATCCAAACACAGAATGGACAGCCCCAGAAGGTTTGTGCCAATTCTGTGCTTTTAGTGGATGTCCTGAAGCATGGCTCTCAGGCTCTGGGGTACACTCAAATCACCTGGAGACCTTGACTGACTAAATGCAGGTTCCATTTCTCAACTCTACAAGTTGATCCAGATGCTGCCTGGGGCTCTTGGGCCAGCAAATCTCCTGATGCTCTCTCTTTAAAACAACTTTCTACCATGTAGGTTCCAGAGACTGAATTCAAGTAACTAGACTTAACAGCAAGCACCTAGACTCACTGATCTATCTTGCTGCCTCCTCTCCACACCCCTGCTTCCTTTGTTTTTTAATCTGCAGATAACGTCATATACTCATATATATTTTGCTCGTTTTACTCCCTATCCCCCTCTTTTTTCCCAAGGTCCTTTTCCTACTTTTTGTTGTTACTATTTTTTAATGACCCACTGGGCTTAATTAGGGTTGCTTGAATGAGCATGTGTTGAGTTATTTACTGGAGCATGGACAATTTGCTAGTGCCCCATCTCCACCCCTCTATTAACTGAAAACATGAGCCCTGATCCCATATACGTGAAAGAGTGTTGTCAGGCCCTATCTTGTGCAGACCTTGGGTAGGTAACCCCAGTGAGTTCATGTGTCGTGACCGTGTCATATGCAGAAAACAAGATGTCATAGCAACCCTCCCACTCTGGCTCTTACATTCGTTCTGCTCCTTCTTTTGGAAAGTTCCCTTAGCCCTGGAGGGAGTGACAGATGTGTTGTTTAGGCAGAGAGCACTCTTGGTCTCTGATACCCTGGTTTGTCTAGGAACTGGTGATGGGCTTTGCTTACAGGCAGCCAGACCTATTTCAAAGGTTAAGTCTTTGCTGTGGGTACTCATCAAAAGATCGTTTAGAAGAACAGCATGCTCCCAGGGGCCCTGCTTAAGCAGAACTATATGGCCTCCTTTTCCATAGCTTTCCCCTTCTGAAGGTGTGACTCTTATTTGTGCTAACGTACATCTGAAACACATTAGAAACCTTTTGAGGAGTGACAGCACATTCAGATAGGAATATATCTGAGCAGATCTGAGTCAGGATACTGGAGACACTTGCATATCAGGTTTATGGCTGCACTATTCAGGACTGCCAAGATGCCAGCCTAGATGGAACCAGTCTAGATGCCCATCAACAGACAAAGTGATAAAGAGAATGTGATAAACTCAGCCATATAGGAGAATCAAATTAGTGCTGGAGAGACTGCTCAGATGGTGTGGTGCTTGATGCCAGGGCATGAAGACATAATGTGAGGACACAAATCTAATTTCCTGAACCCACATAAAAACTGTGGTGCCATACAGTTGTATTCCCAGAACTGGGGAGGCTGGAGACAGGTGCATCCTCCCAGCTCTTTGGCCAAAGAACTTAGCCTATACAGTGACCTAGGCCAGTAAGAAACCCCTGTCTCTACAGCAAAACAAAACAACAGAATAGGTAATACTTGAGGAATGACAACTGCTCCCACTTGTGCGTGCTTTGTCTGTCTCTCTCTCTCTCTCACACACACACGAATAAATCATGTCATTTTCAGCAAAATAGATGGGCTAGAGATCATCATATAAAATGAAATAAGGAGTGACAGGAAGATATAGATACAGTTTACCTTCTATGTGGAACCCAGATTTAAATATACATCTATATGGCATGAA